TTATTTATTATTTTTAAAGTCTTATTAAAGCTTTTTTACTTAATGTATCACATTTTTTGCTGTTTGATGCTTGATAAAAGCTATTGCAGGTACATTACTCTGTATGTATTTCAAACATCCCAATTCCTAGTTTTTCCGCATCGCATCTCTTTAGGGTCGGTCTGCTGATACACACAGTAGCTTGCACACTATCATGCCTTTGCGTCTGTTACTAACATACGGCTTTGCCAGTTTGCAGAACTGCATTTCGTATCAGAGAATGACAGAATCATGGAGTGGTTTGGGTTGGAAGGGACCAGGTTGCTCAAAGCAAGAGACCAAGCAGCGTTCTACGACGAGAGCTCATCTCCCAATTTTTGTTTGAGGGTCTGTACGCAATGGGTGAAGCAAAATTCTCTCCTAGCCTGGCAGGAACTGCCTGGGGTCAGCTTGATTCCTTTCAGCTGAAAAGAATGGATAGTTCATTGCAATTCTCAGGCAGGATACACGGTACGAGCATGCCTGTAGTACAGCATCCCAGGGCATATGAAAAGTCACCTGCATTTGCTGCTTCTTGGGATGATTCAAGAATTTCAATTTCTTCATGTGGGCTTTAGTTAATTGGTGGAAAAGAAGGCTTCTTCCTAATGAACACCTGACTACAATAAGGAAATGTTTTATTTCTTGGGTTTTTTGTTTCCTTCTCCAAACACTTTTAACCTTTCTGTCTGGAAATCTCATTCTAAGACTTCTGTGAGGGACGATCACTCTAAGACAATTCTATTCTGAAATCACCGTATGTTTGTTTCTTTACTTTTAATGCACCATAAACATATATTTTACATGTACTTTTAATACACCATGAAAGACCATCCCAACCACAATTAAGCCACCAAAGCTTGCTCCTGGTATTTATTATGGCATATTCTGAGAGAGTTCACGCGGAATTACTCAGTTACAACCAGGAACTCATCTCCTAGATCAGTATTTCCAGGAGGAAACCTGGAAGGGTGAAGATTTAAGACATCTGCATTGAATCTGTCCTTCTCTAGCCACTAATTCAACTCCATAACAATCCTGGTAGCAAGTGGAAAAAATGTAAGATGTTATCCCACTTACGTTACTGACATCAACCAAGTGACATGTTTTAAAAGGACACAATTCATGGAAATCAATGCTAAAAATTGCTTTTAAAGGTATCACAAACATCTCTGATATTCGCTTCATTTTAGTGACTATGCTGGAAAGGACGCTCTCATGAAAACATGGTCAAGTACAAAAGACTTCCCTACCATACTTACATATGTATCTACATCTATATACACCCGTCAGGCAAAAATGTCGCCATTTCCGATGGTTATTACCCTGATTTATAGATTGGGTGGTATATCATCGTTTCTAGTGACACCCTGAAGAAGTATAAAGTATTGGATATGTTTGGAGAAAAAGCTTCTGTACTAAAATTCAACTATTCCATATTAGAAACTAGAAAGGGAAACCCAATATTTGTTTTATACACATGAAAACCAACAATCAGTGTAAGGCAGATTGCAAATAACACACTGAGATCCAATAATGTACTTTCTCTCCAATCGAGGGTAATTTCCAAAGCAAGAGACCTTGCTATCGCCTGTGAAAAAAGGGGGATGTTTACCCTTATGAACGTCGGAAATCCCTGGCCGTAGTATCCAACAGCAAAATAGTCTGGTTTTGGTCTTATCACTTTCACAATGTTCTCATAGAACTGGGCTTGCTTTCTCTGCAAAAGAAATAGGAGGAATTTTAATGACCTCAACTTTAAGGAGATTCCTTATATTTAAGATTTAAATCTCTTTTATGTGTATCTCTAACTTAAAAGATGTACATGTTTCATTCGCCCCTTTTTCTTCACCTTTCCATCAGATATATGCTAATACCTTGAAATACTAGACTCCGTAGCCATTATTTTTATGCTGAACCTCACTGTTCCATATCCAACATCTCCATTTTGATGAAGGTCAAGAATTTGCAAGTCAGCCTGAATTCCCGGCTGTGACACTGCCGATGCCAAAACACTGGAACGATGCAGCATGTACCACTACAGCCAGCTCATCCCGATGGGGCTGACTTCTCCATTTTCCACTGTTACATTTCATTACATTTTTCTCCTGTTTCTTTTCCATATTTCCAACTATTTGTTTGCATATGTAAAGCATGCAGTTGACAATTGCAGAAAAATATAACTTTTGGAATAAATACATGCATGTCAGACGCCATCTGTTTTCGAAGAATCCTTCTTTATCTCAAACGAAATAATAACAAATGCACAGCTTCAGACGATCTGTTCATTAGCTTATTTTTAGTCTATTACTTTCTGTAAGAGAATGAATTCTGATTTGGGGGGAGGTCCCACACAACAGATAACAGTAAGTGGCAAGAAGACTACAAAGACCCAGATCTGCCGTATATTTCTCAGTTCACCTGTAGCAAAACTATTTTGTCATTTGGGAATTGTCGTAGAGTCTAATATTTAATATTGCTTGAACAAAAGAGACAATAGGGAAAATAGAGAGAAACAAAAAACTCTTAAATTTTATTGTGGGAGAAAAAAAGAAGAGCTAGGATGCCAACGCTATTCAGCAGCAGCAACAAGAAAAGCCGATGGGGTGTGCGAGACCCTACTGCTTCAGGAACATTAATTCTGATCTTTGCCTTATTAGGGATATATGCCCAAGGCACACTGGTACTAAGTTTTGTGACATCTCTCTCAATTTTTCCTGTCTGGTAAATAAAGAACATATAAACTTGGTTGTTTGCCATCAGAATTGGAAGTTGTGGGTCTCCCCTATTAGAAGAGGGAGAAACTCCATTTCCATACAGAGATGAACCATACCTGGTTTATGCCCCTGCCTGGAATTATGTCACTTAATGTCAACAATGACATATTTACCGTGCAAGAGGAATGGGGAAAAACACATAACTCACTATTATTGGCCAACAGCTACAACATACAAAGTGCAAATTCAGAGATCTGCTCTAAAAATGGGTGTGCTATGAGATGAGCGGTTGTCTGTGATAAAACTTGCTCGTGGTCCCATGTGCAAGCATAAAGGAGATGGAAAATTAAAAACAAGGGACTCAGAGAGCAGCTACCCACTGGTGAATAATCATATCTGACACATGAAAATCATTTCTGGCTGAGGAACACTCTCTGCCAGATTCCTTTTATATTGAAATGAAGAATATTCTCTGTTGAAGGCAGCCCTGCTGACAGCGGCGGGCCAAGGAGGACTCTTCTGGAACACCCCAGCGCCTGAGAAATGCTCCATGTGGACATCCCTGACCCCCTGCAGTACACAGCAATGTGAAACCAGGCTCCAAATTTGTTGGGCAAATCATTACAATCAGTCTGTCACTAAAACCAGGTACAATACCACAAAAGGAGGACCATCAAAAAGGGATATAAATTCAGCTGGAGGACAGAACCATGGACAAAACCAAGAAGAACGGATAAAGGAGGGAAGAAACCATAAAACGGAGAAGAGTGGTATTTACATTTAGTCTTTATTTCCCCAATAAAGGAGATTTTGGGGAGATGGGGATGGAGATGCTTCTGGGGAGATGGCTCCCCACCAATCTCAAAGTGAATGTCAGTGGAGAAAGAGAGTTCAGTGACACCACACCACTGCCCAGCTCAGACTGGGATAAAGCAGATAAAGAATTCAAGGAAATCCAGGATGATCTACTCCGGTGAGTGCAAAGGACAAAACATATAAAAAATCTGAAAGTCAAGAATTTTCAGAACTGAACTGGAATCATGTCTCAAGTTGCATGAAAAGGGTCGAAAAGTTAGGAGGGATGGTGACAGCCACCATTTATCTCTTTGGAGAAGAGCAGGAGGAAAAAAATGGTGCAGGCATAATGAATGGGTAATGTCAGGGCAAAAATAACTGACTCTAGACATGAATGCTGGGGGATTATTCATACCTAAAAAAAGAAACGTGAATATGGAAAGACACTTGATAGAGAATGGGGAATTTTTCATGGTCCCATTTATATTTAAATTCCAAATTTCCTTTTATACTTCAAATAATTCATAACATTACCGAAATATTTTTCTTTCAGCTAAAAAAAAGATAAAATTCAATGTTTTTCAGACATTCCAGTGGTAGCCAGTTAATCAACATTTGTCCAACAAAGCCAAAGCCGGCATCTATTTCTGCATTTTACTGTAATAGGAGAGCTTCTCAATATAATTTTAAAAGCTTAGAAATTAAATTCTGTAAAAAATTGTTGCAGAGTCTATATCATTAAAAAAACCTACCAGCAGTTCACTGAGTTGTTCATAATCAAACATTTCATTTTCATACTGTTCTGCAAGTTCTTTACCCAAGGCAATGGCCTCTTCCCACATCTGTTGAAAAAAAAAAACCACAAAACAACAAAAAACCTGAATTACATACCTTGGTTAAACAACAACGTTGGAATAAAATGAATCTTAATAAAACACAACAAAATGCATTGTGTCACATGCCTGAAAACACTGTGCATGGGATGTGCCAAATAGCTGTGATGGTGTTACCCACATGTCTCTATTTGATGCAAATCAAGTAAAATGATCAAATTGTTTCAGAAATAAAATGATTCCTGCTAGCCCAACTAGACATCCAATAATTTGTAAACACAGCCCACCCACAAAGAAATGCAAAACCTAGGACTTGGGATAAACGTTGCTGATTGATTATAGTTCATCATCACCTCTCTCTCCCTCTAATATCTATAATCTATATTAGACAGGACAGGCAATTTGTAGATATTGCTTTGAACAAATATTCATTATATTTCTGTTGGTTCTTTTCCTTGTCTTGTTCTTCACCCATGAAATTCAGCAGCTGTCTCAACTGACCCAAAGAAATTTAACAATATCCTTCAGCTCTTCAGAAGCCAACAATCTTAATGAGGAGCAGCACAAATGTTTTTTAATGTGTATTATTCATTTTTTCTACTTTACATGTAAAGAATTACTCGAACCCGAAAAGATGCTCAAATCAGCACACCAGGATATCTACGATTCAATTTGATGATCTGCCTCTGCTGCTGAAATTTGCCTGGCACTGTTGACCTGACTTTAATAAAAAATGAGATGTGGAATGACTTATATATCCATTCTGTTTGTATTACCCTTCATCTTAAATGTAAATCCCCTGTCCACACCACCTAATTCTCCTCTCAGCATCAGACCGTGGGCTGAACACACATTTCCCCATTGCTCCTCAAAGACCTTTGGGGACAAAGAGTTTGAGATGAAGCACCACAACTCCCAAAGATGGTTGGCGAGAGAGAAGGGGAACAACACTCCTGTGGAAACCTTTGTGCACACAACCAATTCCTGCTCACGTCTTGCACAGACCCCCCTGTTCCCATCCACCTTAAAGCACTGTGTAAATAAGAAATATTTTACCCTCAAACCCCCCTGAGAACCAAAAGCCATCCCCAAAACACACAAATGAAATCCCACAACTCAAAGCTCAAAAACAATGTTGGGTGAATTTTATTTCTCTTCACCTGCAAGTCAAAAGTTTTGGGAAAATTCGGAAAAAAATAAGACTTCTAGGAAAATCCCTATTTCTAGATGCTGATTTAAAAATACGAGTCAAACACGAAGGGTTCCTATGACCATCAGTATGACCGAGCCCATTGCCAGCATCAGCTGAGGAGTCAAGGCAGGGCACAGCTACCTGTGATTTAGTGGCACGAACACCAGACTGGGACCTGGAATATTTATTTTTTCCCCCTAGGACTTGGCAATTTGGAGCGCAGCCAGGCTGAATACTCAGTAACACGTAACATGCCAATGCCCCAAAAGCAAGAAACGAGGAGCCAATATTCAAGCAAAGGGCACTCGTCCCGCAAACCCAAGGATGGACGGGAAGATCATCCTGGAAGGTTGAGAGGCAAGGGATGGAAAGGAGAAGCAGCCTGAAGAGGCAGAGAGCTGTGACAATGGAGGAGAGGAGGAGCTGCAAAAGGAAAAATAGTTACGGAAGATGGCAGGGAGAAAGGACAGAGATTTATGCTCTTGAAGTAAGGGAGCGAAGTATGAGAAAATATGGGCTGAAACTACACTGGTATGGCTGAGCAAGGGAAAAGGAGCTTTTGAATCCTAAAGAAAACAAATGGGCAGACGCCTGGGCAAACGGAGATTAAGCGGTGACCTAATTTAAGACACAAAGGCAAAGGATGCTCACAAGAGCCTGGTACCTGCGCTAACTTCCCCTTATGGCTCCACGTGATGATCGACCCCTTCATTTTTCTCATTTCTACAACAAGGTTCATAATATTAATTATCTAGGGGAAAGGACTGGAAAGAGCATGAGTAACCTCATGTTTGTAAAGTGCCTCAAAGATAAAAAAACGCATTGGAACAACTAATTACTGTTAATGAGGGATCACGTCTGCAGGAAATCTCAGGGCAGGATCCACACTCTGCAACAAAATTTTTGCAAATGGAGGGATCTGAATGTTTTTATCTGCATTATGTACCTAATCTAGAATGATGATACAGAGGATATTTTTCTTTCTAAACAAAAATTAACATGAGTTTAATAGTAAAGGCATATTTACGGAAAACAGACTATGTTTTCACATACTAGGCTGAGTTAATTTTGACTCAGAAGAGCAATATACCACCAATCTATGGAAACTAAATATTCAGCTGTTTGGTAAGTCAACAAGTGAAAACTTTAAAAATCACTTAACCTTTCTTCAACTGCTGCTTTCTTCTTAACATCAGTCATCCATAGCATCTTCTGCATGGTTTCATTTTAAAAAAAATGGTGTTACCATAATTTTCCTCCAGATTTAGCCAGTCCCTCTCCGAAACCTAAGCACTTCTACTCTCTTTTCTGTTGGAATCCCGAATCGGCACAGACATTGCGACGTGTTCCCGAAGCACGTCTGGCAGCTCAAAGCACCGACTGGGCACTGAGGCTGAACGTCATTTAACATTAGCTAATTGCACCTGAGCATCAAGAGGGAAGGGATTCTGGATGAGCAGCGGGAGGGAGGAGGGAAGGAGAGGAGCCCAAGGTTTTTACCGCTGTGTTGGTGTTGCTCAATGCTGAGTGTCATCGTGCCACCATGGCTTCGCAGCCAACCCGTCCCGGACTGTCACTGCCATCTGCAGTGCCCTGGAGCCCATCAAAACCTCAAGAAAGACCTGGACCTGTTGGAGAGGGTCCAGGGGAGGCCACGGAGATGGTCCGAGGCTGGAGCAGCTCCCGTGCGAGGACAGGCTGAGAGAGTTGGGGGTGTGCAGCCTGGAGAAGAGAAGGCTCCGGGGAGACCTTCCAGCACCTTCCAGTGCTGAAAGGGGGCTACAGGAGAGATGGGGGGGCTCTGGGTCAGGGGGGCGGAGGGATAGGATAAGGAGGAATGGTTTTAAGCTGAAAGAGGGGAGATTGAGATGAGATATTGGGAAGAAATGTTTTCCTGTGGGGGTGGTGAGGCAGTGGCCCAGGTTGCCCAGAGAAGCTGTGGATGCCCCATCCCTGGAGGGGTTCAAGGCCAGGCTGGATGAGGCTTTGGGCAACCTGGGCTGGTGGGAGGTGTCCCTGCCCATGGCAGGGGGTGGCACTGGACGGGCTTTAAGGTCCCTTCCAACCCAAACCATCCTGTAATTTTAAAACCAGACTGTCGCAGGCACTGCATATACATCAATGCCTATAGGTACCACAGCACTGCCACCAGTTAAATGACGACTTTGGCACCATTAAATCCTGTTTGTGATTTTTTTCCTTCCCTTCCCACCCTTGTCAGTCGAGTCCGTCAACATGCCGGAGCGGAGGCTGTGTGCCTCCCCCAGCCTGATCAAACCCTTTAGATGTTACTGAATATAAATATAAATATTAATATTGAATTTTAGAAATGTTTCAGAGCCTAAAAAATGAATCTTCAAATTACATATGATATAGATTTAGTTCGTCTCCAATATGCAGTAATTGCACATTCCTAGCATTCTTCCTTGTAACCATTCCCCCGCCTGTAAGTGGAGCTGAACAAGAAAAAAACAGCTATTATGAACATTTGTTTCGGGCTTAAATTACTGGAATTTATTTAAAAATTCTTTAACAGTTAGTTTACAAGTTACACTGCTCATATTTTGTCACATTATTTTTAACGGAACATGTCAGGTCTAGGTAAGAGATAAAACGACTCTTTTTCCACCATGCTGCAAACACCCGATAAAAGTGCCTCACCATGGGAAAAGACTCTTTCAATTTTTGCCAGCCTCTAACCTGGCCCTGCTCCAGCCAACGGATCTGTCTTAGAGAAAAGCACCTACTTTTTGTTGCTACTACCTCTTAAAAACCCCACTCCGCTCCAACGTCTCTATTTTGAAATCCAATTGTCCGGTTCAATCCTCCGAAGGACCAAGGAGAACTTGTATTGTAAGACTCAATTTGTAAAATGTCAAATACTTTGAACTCCAGAGGTCCACAAGTCCATTAACCAAACGGCTTTTCCCTCGGCCCTTTGAGCAGCTGGACCACGACACCTACAACATCCCCAAAGACAAACCCAAAGCCGGTAATTTTTCCAACGTCGTAAGAGAAGCAAGAACCGTATGGGTTTAAAATCCCCTGCACAACCTTCTGAAAAATTTCAGTGTTTACTACAGAACGAATTTATTCAGGTGAGGACAGCACGGCTGTGGCAAAGGATCCTGATAAATGAAATCTATATTCTTGAAGGTCAATAACTCCCAATCTGCTGCCTCGCAGATTTCCTGCCTTGGAAGGTTTCCCAGGTTTGCCCAGGACACGGCAGGTCTTCTGGAGGAATGAGCCGTACGGGGAGCTACTACACAGGATTTGTACGCTGTATAACTCATTAATGCGAGAAACAATTTATCTGGAGAGCGTACCAGAGAGAGAGGTTGGCGATAGTGGAAGGAAAATGCTTCTTTTATACTGAAGGTATAAGAAAAATGTGTATAGCCTAAATTTAGTTGTGTAGACACGAGCTGCAAATTGTTATGGGAATGACTTTGAGGATGCAGAAGGAGAACTTTTTAGGGAAAACCTAGCAATTTAATTTCTTTTTGAAGCTGGATTGCTTGTTGCCCAGAAAGAACTGCAGAATCCAATTTATTTTTTGAGGTTCTTCAATAGCGGCAAAGGAGGATCATAGGATATTACTTAGCTCCTGCTGAGTTAACGGTCAGTAAAAATGAAATAGTCAAGGATAAGAGTGTTATCGTGCAATTTGCTGATGGATGAGGGACATTCCAAGCTGTTTAAATTTCAGACAGTGTTAATTAACCACCATGTAAGCTTAATATTTTAAATAAAATGTTAAAACACGGTCTTTCTCTATTGCTAGTATTGCATTCAAGATGTGGAAGATAGGGCCATTGGAAACCCTGTAAAACAACTTGCTCTGTTCATTTGGAACACGGTCAAACGCCCTATCTTTGCTCTCTAAAGATCATCTCTGTCCTTCACAGCTCTCAGGATGGGATTACGAGCTGATGTGGGACACGAGCCTTGCACTGATTTTTTTGGCAGACAGCTGAATTTCACCGTTATTCTGACAGGTGGAAGAAAAAGCCATTTGATGACATCCTATGAGCTAGGAAAAAGACATTTTAAGCCAAAGCACGGCTTTTCCTGCATAGTTGGAAGTATTTTGTGTTTTATGGCTCCAGTAAAACAGTAAATTTTTTTTTTTTTTTTTTTTTTTGGAGGAGGAGGGTGGTGAAGGGGGGAGTATTGGAAATAAACGAGCAGTGTGCATTTATTTATTTTTTTCTTCCCAGAACCAGTGCTTTCAATTTCGGAAGGAGCAGTGGAAAACACGTACTGATTTATAGACTGCAGCATCCACTGGCAATCTCGAAACACGTTGCGGTTTGTACATTTTACCGCGCAGGAATAAGAACGCTGCTGCTTCTTTGACAGCTCCGGAGACCACACAAGCCTGTTTAAAAATGATCTCTTATCTTTATCAGGGGCACTGAGTATTTCTCGGCTTCAGGAGTTCATTAGCATTGATTAACATCAACTGCTCCACACGGGCAACATTCCACTCCCCTTCCCTTGTCACTTGATTACCGCTACTATTTTTCCTTCTTGTCCGGAGATACTCCAACCTACCAGTAAAGTCCTTGGATTAAGGGCTTTGTTGAGAATTACAAAGCTTCAGCAAAACACAGAAAGAGCAAACACTTCAGAGCAGTTCAAAGGATGGGTTAGGCTGCCGGGATAAGCGCGAGGATAAGGATTTTAAGGACAAAAGCCAAGAGAGATGGAGATGAGACCGGAAAGTACAACACGGTGAAGAATAATAATCTAGGAGAGAAAACTATGCATATACTAGGGAAACTTGGAAGTAACAACATTTCATTTTTGGAAACAAGGAGCTCAGAGGATTAATGAAAAGTATTACTAATAAGGAATCAAATCTATAAGGCAGAAGAACAACGAAATGCAGAAGTTGTACTTAGAAATGCTGATTTACTCAAGGTGCAAAGTGTTCTTCAACTTTACAGAAGGTTGATTTAAGGACCAAAAGTCAAATATAAGTAATAAAATAAGCTTCCTAAGAATAATATATTAAAAAAAAAGAAATAAAAATGAGAAATCGTAAATGCATTTCAAACTACAAATAACAAGGATACTCATGGTGAAGGTTAGTATTTCGTTCTCAGCCAAAATGAGATGCCCACACTCCTGCTTTCACTGCAAGTCCACACTCTGGACTATGAAATTAAAAATTTCTCAGGCACTTCTGCTCTAGAAGTGAGAGGTCTGCTCCATTCCAGTCTGTGCATGGAAAATTATACCTTCCCCTAAATTCATCTCACCATGAATGCCTGTATTTAGGGAACAAGCCTCATGGCTTGTCTTCCCTTGAAAAGTGCACTGTGTGATCCTCTTGGGAAATTACTCTGCTAAGAGAAAGGGATCACGATTTTTGAGAGTCTGATCTACATAACTACATCATCTTTTTTTTTTGTTTGTTTGTTTTTTTAAAAAAAAGTATCAGTAGAGTCTTCTAAAAAAGCACAGCAAATATTATTCCAGATGTGTTACTGACCATGGAATGGCACAGCTGAAGTCGCTGCTGGACTACGTTTGCAAACCACGTAGGTAAATGCAAGAAGTTGATTTAACCCGATGTCAGAACATCCCAAATGAGAGGATTACCTTCAATCTGCCGTGGAAACCTCAACTTGGAGCTTCCTGACATTTGAAAATTCACATAAGATGCTCAGTGTATATTGATTTTTGTTTCCTTTTCATTGAACAATTAAAAAAAAATAATATCACCAACCTGAGTGACCAGAAAATGAGAGAAGTATCTATAACTAAATTGAGTGCTTTGAAAATAAATCACCTCCTCAAACACACCCAAAAAAATCATGCAGGAGTCCTATGACTTGAGTTATGCGAAGGAATAGGAATAAGTAATCGCAGCGGTCCCTTCGATATCATTGCTCACCAAAAATGTTTTGAATAATGAAGATTCAGTTGTTTGATCTAACTAGGAGGGAAAGGGAAAACACAGCATTTCCAGTGCGATTTCTTTCGAAAGCAGGGAGAGCCTTCTCTCATTTCTAGCTGTAAAATCACAAAAAAAAAAAAAGAAAAATTCCGAATGGTTATTCATTCTAGCAAGGGTCTCTCAAGCGTGGATGCCGTGCTGTGCGATGCGGCGGCAGGCTGCAAAGGAAGCAGCAGGTACTTTGCCTGCTGTTTATATCAACAGCTCATTAGTGCCATCAGCAGAAACGGGCGGGGACGGCTTTCAGACAGCCTGGTTTAGACAGAGATGTAAAGGATGCTGCAGCTCTTCATTTACAGATAAAACGCATTGGCCTGGTGCTCAGGAGAACAATTCCCACCGCCTGTATACCAGCACCATAAAAGACTAACTGTGAGGCTATAAAGATGTAAAATAACAAAATAAAAACACGCGACTTCTGGCTTTTCCTTTCCAGAGAGGAATGTAATATTAAAATACACTTTATATCTATCTATATCTATATCTATCTATATATATACACATATAGAGCTATGACCCTAATTCAAAGGAGGTTCTCCTCACCCGCTATTAAAGAGTTAGTAAAAGTTTTTTGGGCAGAAGAGTGCTGTGACAACCAGTGGTACCCACTGTACAAACGCCGAGGTCCCTACCCCAGCCCCAGCCCCACGCAGCCCAACTCTGCCACAGTCAACAATTCCCATTTACTCAGCATCATTTATGAAGAACTTTGATACGTGGCATTAAGAGAAGGTATTAAACGTGACCTTTTCAAGGAAAGTTTCTATCAAAAGACTAATCTAAATCTTCGATCAACTTACTTGGAAAATAGGAGCTGGTTGGATAACATTCTAGTTCTACCAGAGAATGACATTTCTCTTTGCACTACACTCATGCAACCAAGATTGCTTTTAAAAACCCAAGTTTATAGTTTCAAAATATTCTGACAAAGAGATGACTACTTTTATATTTAAGCATTTTGTCCATGAAATATCCTAACACTGAGACATCCCTACATCTCCCCATCTACCCACTTAAACCCCTTCGTCTCTGCAGACAGGTCAAACCAGTGCTCACACTTTGCAATAAAAGATGCAACTGCAATCAGATATTATCATCTGAGAATATTTCTGCCTCCGTACGATATGAACCACAGACACCCTTTCTCTCAGGGGATTATTTTGTGTACACAAGACAAAAAAAAAAAAAAAGTGGCTGAAGGATTGCATTAGCTATTGCAATTGCTGGAAAAAGTCAGTCCCCCAAATTACATGCATCACTTTTTTATTTTCTCTGCGGCACATATATGCACATATATTTACCCTTAACACAGCACTTATAAATGTACCATTGATTTATTTTTACTTTTTTTTTTTTAATATTATGAAGTGGTAGCTGGTGGCCCGTTCACATAAAGCACTCCAAATAATGTGCAGCAACTTCAAAGCGCCCTGAAGGTCGCTTGATGCAAACTATGTTTACTATTAGACTTGTAAGTTAGAGAGAAAAGCAATGAAACATATTTGGACTTTTTTTCTTCCCTTTTTACCTTGCCCTTGTCAAAGTAATGGATAATTTCTTGATAGAGTTGATCTTTCAGCTGTCCTTGCGTGGCAGCCTGGTATCCATCCCGCTGGGTAAGATGTGCTGCACAGGCTTCTTCTGACCACTAAATCAGATGAGAAAGAGGGGAAAAGTGAAAGTGAATACAAAGTTATGAAATATGTCAGTAAAATTAGGCTAAATAAAATACACTTTTTTTTTTTTTTTTTTCATTTCAAGAAGCAGTACCACATCTAACGCATTAACAAAGATTTGTTCTACAGTTGCGGACTTTGATTCCTCGGACAAGGACCATTTATTTGAATGCTGTGATTGGAGGCAGGTTGATGTTGAGAGAAGCCCTGAGGCCAAGACACATCAGTACAAACAGGAAGGACTGCAGGCATGGAAATTAAAGAGCTAAAATTCACGGAGAATGTCTGAAGGGACAGAAAAGCACCACTAACTTTAGACAGCCTGGTTGCAATCAGTTGCTCTTCCATCAAATGCCTAGTGGATGAGGAGTAAGGCACCGATACTCCATGAATTTCCTCCTATACTAGAGAGGACCATGCAATTCCCTACAGTTTTCTCCCTGGCACCTGCATTTTCTGGTGCCCGTTAAGGGACAGATGCAATCAAAACCTCTGGACCTCAGCATTCATATCACCTCTGCTTCACCTCCCTTCTCTCCTCCCACTAATATTTCCTCTGACCTACCCGGGGACGAGACAATCCTGGAGCCTTTTCCCTAGACAGGACACTAATAATACATCCTACCTTTCCATAGCTGTCTATTTTCATGAGGAATTAGCAGGACATTAATACCTTAGAGACTCACAAACCTCTATCAAATCAAATCAAGTCACAAACCTCTATTAAATCAACTGAAATTTTTCATAGATTCAAAAGACAAGGACATGTGCCCCAAGGCTGTCTATTTTCATGAGGAATTAGCAGGAAATTAATACCTTAGAGACTCACAAGCCTCTATCAAATCAAAACAAGTCACAAACCTCTATTAAATCAAATGTAATTTTTCATAGATTCAAAAGACAGGGACACGTGCTCCAAAAGGACTTGTTGCCTTAAGAAACCAAGTTAAAAAATAAATTAAACTGTTCACTTTCTTCTCTGAAAATCAAAGTTTCAAAAGGAGGAGGGCTGCCCGCTTCACTTTCTTCTCTGAAAATCAAAGTTTCTAAAGGAGGAGGACTGCCCGTTGAAATAAAATGGTATCACTTTGGGAAAAGAAGAAAAGATCACCCAGAGATCAGCAGTTCCCAGATTTTTTCACAGAATTACTGTTACATCATCCAGTTTTACCTCCAATATCTTCGTGAATTTTACCCAATTATTTCTTCACTTGGACAAAATGTTTGTGTTTGGCTAAAGCTCTGTACCACAAAGCTGTGTTTCTGAGCAACACAAACCTCATGGAGTCTGCAAGGCGACGGCGCTAAAGCAGACGGCTCTGTACCGAAAAGCTGTGTTTCTGAGCAAGACAAACCTCACGGAGTCTGCAAGGCGACGTCATTTTTTTCACCATACTCAGAGCCACCATCTTCTGTTAGCTTCCAACATCTTAATTTTGACCAAGTTTAAAAATAAAACTCAAATCTCTTTTCTGAAGCGTGCTTCATCAGCTTGCAGTGATCTGGAGGAGACGGTGGTGGCTCACCCTCGGCAGAGGCAAACTTCTCGCAAATTGAAAGGTGAAATTCTCAAAAGCTCTCAGTCTTGACCCAACCGTGATCCCATTAAAATCAACGTGATGAAATACATGCCGATGATGACCGTCATTGAAAAATTTGTCCTCCAGGTTTGAAAGAAAAACTCAATTGCTCAGAGTTACAGACACCACAATATTGCTGCTTCTCGAGGAATACTGAGCTCCTCCAGCCACTGCTAACTACTGGTAGTAATGGGATATTGTATTAGATAGATCGATACGCTTTCATAATAAAATATTTCCAAACTATAACACAATTATATTTATAAACAAACATCTGCTTAGTGCTGAAACCCTGGGATAAATACGACCCTTCCGTTTTCCATCTTCCATCAAATTGCATTATAAGAAAACTGGATATTTCTTTCCACCAAATTCAAGGAGGATATTAAGATCCTCATCCAGTCTCTGAAGACATTCACTAAGAAAAACCAAAATCTGCTAAACTCTAATTTAAGGTCACATAAAACATATCGAGTGGCAAGTTCAAGCCGTAACAGGTAGAAGTGTGAATGACATTTCATGGCATGGTTCATTCCATCGTTTTTCCAGACAGCACAGCACCTGTGGAAGGGAACGAATGCTTTCTCTTGTCTAAAAGGTTCATTCACGCAAAGGGTGATGAGCAAATATGACACAATTTGGCAGTCCTGTTTTATGTCCCTCGTGGGAAGAAGGGAGATCTTTACAGCCACAGCCTCAGCGAGTTACTCACTCCAACTTCTACCCACAGGCAACACCCGCCTGCGTGACGGAAGGCGTCAGAGCCATCTCCCGACATCCTCACCTCCCTGACACGTCTCAGCAGAAAAAATTTCATCACCAAAGAACCAACTGCATCCAGCAGGCTGTGCCCAACGATTGCCACTGCTTTTAATAATGAAGAAAGCTATTGCTGCACTTCTTGTGCACTCCAGATGAATCTTACTGATGTTTACTTTGTGTTATGACGCTCTATTTATTTTAAAATACAGTAAATACATTTCAAAGTGCACAAATACGCTCTGCATCCTATTTAGTCTTATTATAGCTCGGCTGCAGTTTACTCAGGTTTGAAGTATGAATAATTCTCAGCGCATCCTATAGAAGCGTTTCATTTAACACCTTCCACTTCTTGACTTTTCAAAATGGATATTTTACACTAGCACTTCTCTTGGGATTGCTTAGATTAATCACACATTGCGAAGATCTGGCTGCCCAGGGAAGTGGTGGAGTCACCATCCCTGGAGGTGGTCAAGAAACGTGTAGATGTGGTGCTTGGGGACATGGGTTAGTGGGTTAGGTGGTGTTGGGTTGGACTTGATGATCTTTGAGGTCTTTTCCAACCTTAATGATTCTATGATTCTAAGAACTATTTGATGCATAGAATGAGATCAATTTCCTTTATTAAACACGGGATTTAATGACTCAAGTGTCTGCTGTGAAGTGCAGCATCCTTCCGTATGATAGCGCTGGAAACACGGTTGGCACACGGTGCCACGTTGGTGACACAATGACATGAACAAATTGTATGGGAGGGACAACACCCCCTATCCAGAAAGTTTTCAGTGCAATTAATGCTTATGCAATACGGCCTCACTGCAGCTCTATAGCATTAAAAACTCTAATATTTTATTTACATGCACTTTGTAGAGATAACATTTTATTTCTATATATTGCAGGTCACACCAAGACATTCCTTGAAGAACAGCAATATTGTTATGTCTCTTTAAATGTGCTATAAACTGTGTGATATTGCATTGAAATTATAAGTGCCTTTTAAAGGCATGAACTTGGGAAGAAGACTGTTTGAATGGCTCTCCAAATTCTCCAAATCAAAACTGAATTTACAGAGAGCCAAGAGCACTCAAGAACAGTCTCTAGTACTCGGCTTTGCAAAAACAACTCTGTGGAGAGCTGATTTACTAAAATAGGTGTTTAGGTGCTCCCCCACATGATATAATGTTTGATATTCAAAAGAAATTTAAATTACAGCCTTGTAATTTATAACTTATGGTCTTGACTTGATGGCGCTTCCATTCATTTCAGGTCAAGACGGGTAAAACACACTCCGACGTACACGGAGGGCAGAGGGCTGCTGTCCTGCACGTATTAATTACACATGGCAGAGATAAAACCCACAGAAGAAGAAACACAAAGCTGTTAATCAGTTTAAACCCCAGGTGTTCTAAGAGTGACAAAACCAATCCCACTCTTGGCTACCGCTAAGACAATTTTCGAACTTTGCAGTGAATGTTGGCGTTTACCTTAAGCAGCTTTGCGTGCAGGAGTAATGTGTAGGCAGCTTCCGTGTAGTTATCACACTCTTTGTGCAGGTCGCACAGTTTGTACAAATACCTGGAAGTAATAAAAACAATGGTTCTGAAAAAAAGGTTCGTTGTTAAATGATACTAAAGAATTTATTTTGAAGACTACAATGGTTCAACTCTATCTTCAAACAACTAAATATATGTGGGAGCACCTAAAGCTCCTATTTCTGTGTGTAGGCACCTTTAGGACCATACACATTTCTGTTGTGTTTTTTTTTTTTTCCAATATATATAAATGACTTGTGATGTGTAATGAATCCAATACAGATTTTGTGCAAGATACATGGCTCTGAATTGTTCAGCTATGGATACAGACAGATGTCTTCTTCCTTCACTTTAATGTCATCACACCTCTGGAAGAGGCTTCTCTTCGTTTGTTTGTTGGGTGCTTTTAGTGACAATTGGAAAAAATAAAAAAAAAACAAATGACAAAACTATTAAAATTGTGTTTTGAAAAAAATTTTGGACCTATTTTGAAAAAGCCAATGAAAATACAGAATTTGATATTTGTTATGACACATTAGAAGTATGTTAATGGAAACAGGAGAGAATTTGGGTGGGGGTTTGACAGTGAGAGTCAATTTCTCTTTATAGAGCTGCTCAATAGGGCAGCCCTACAACTCAGAACTTCACGTGTTTGCCCACAGTTATCAACCCTGCCGCTTGCTAGAGTTTATTTTCTTTTTGCAAATTAATAAAGTAATCATTAAACCCATTTAAACAACACGAAATGAGGTCAGAAGTGAAAATTCTTCCAAAAAGGTGACAAGCATCTGAGCATGAACTAATGAATAGTATTTAGATAGCTGAAATAGCAGTGAAAGCACAAGCTGCATCCTTTTAGCACAACAGTCTAGCCAATTTTAAGCCACAGTCCAAACAGAAGACTTGGAACCCCGAGGTTTACAAAAAGCACAACAACATATTACCATTTTCACCTTGTGCGAAAACAAGATTTTGAAAGGTTCCTAAAAGCTTTAAATTTAAAATAAGTATCAGCCATGATATTATTTAATAGCCCTTTTTACCCCAGGTCACATTATTTCATACCTCACCAGGAGGCAAAATTCTTTCTTTGCTCAGCTTTCATTTGACTTATTTATTTTCTTCATGTGACAACACTCCTGAGTATTTCAGTGTTCATCATAATATCACTTAAGGAGTTGGAGAAGGGGGACAAAAAATAAAAATCTCATTACTCTAATTTAAGATGCTCAGTGTTCTGAATGAAGATAAGCTTTTGAATGTACTGAGGGTTCAGCAAAGTATGTTTTTTCCATTACTTTTTTCCCTCCAGCCCCCAGGTGTCTGCCTAATATAAATTTAATTTTCTCCAACAACACTATGGTAAGCCAAGAAGAGTTTGTCACTGGTCATGTTTACAAACCTGATGTACATTTCTTCTCTCTCAATCTCCTTGTAGAAATTCTGAAAAACAACATAATTCTGTTACCAAGTGTTTGATTTCGCAGCCTGGAATGGGCACAGAACACGCTCTCCAATAAAAATTCATCATTGCGTAACATTGACCTCAAAACTGGAAAACGAAATTTGCCCCTAGTGACAGAACACAAGTTGTTTAACTTACAAAGTCTAATGCCGTGATGTTTCACGATGCAGTGCGTTAGGGCTCACGTCTCATTGCAAAGGTTAAGAATTTGCAAGAATAGTACTGCTAGAAATTAGCTCGCGGCATTTGCGAGTCACACATCAGTAACCGTTTGCGGTTGAAATTTTGTAATGTACAAAACCATAATTTTTAACCAACAGTTGTTCTATGGATTTAAAACTCCAAATCTTAGTTGAGCTACACGTCATCCGCCCTTGAATTCTAATAGTTTCTTTGGAAATAAAAAGTGAGATTAGTGTTATTTAGCTGGTTTCCTGTGCCACACATTAGCGCCACTCTCTTCAGAATGCCTCTGGTCTTCAGATAAACTAGTTAACACTACAAATACTGGAAATGCAAGATATCATAAATTGGATGGGATCCTAACGGCATTTCTGAATCTAATTTAAAGTTTGCCTTCAAAAGTTAAAATATATCTAAGAAAACACAATACAAAGAAATTTATCTTTCACTGAGTTACAATATTTCAATGCTAAATTAAATTAAAAAAAAAAAAATTTTTCAAATTAAGTCTAGGTAGCCACTAACAGATGAAAAAGCCCAGAACTAATAGATGAATAATCACAGAATCACAGAATCACAGGATGGTTTGGGTTGGAAGGGACCTTAAAGCCCATCCAGTGCCACCCCCTGCCATGGGCAGGGACACCTCCCACCAGCCCAGGTTGCCCAAAGCCTCATCCAGCCTGGCCTTGAACCCCTCCAGGGACGGGGCATCCACAGCTTCTCTGCCAGTGCCTCACCAAGCCCAAGACAAAATTGCTCCCTTCAAATAAAACCAAAATACAAGACAGAATCTATGTACCAGACTTGGAAATGATGGATTATTCAGTGGATAGATCATTTCAGTTGACATACCTGCTCGCTGGTTTTGTGTTCAACTCAAAAGACAAACTGAACCCCATGAAAAAATTATGCTGTTACTTCTTACTTGTGTTTTTTACAGTAGAAGAGACTTCTGAGTTAGGCGGATCAACAATATAAAATCATTTTATCCTAACGTTGCTACCAGAAGGAACATCAAATGAACCAAAAGGGGAAGAGGCTTGGGCAGCAGGTTGACCCTGACCCACGTTACATTTCCTCCACCTCCATCTTCCCCAAAAGCCATCCCTGCTCCTGCCCCATCTTCGGGTGCGAGCTCCCACGTTTGTGTGCGCTTAAATGCATATCAAAACCCTGACTTAAACTATAGTCAATACAGACAAATTTAATCCTGTGAAAGCCTCTGCATCATTAAAGAACCAATTAAGAACTCTCTGAGACCTCAGGTGGGAATTGTGCTGAGCGTCAGCCCCAGGTTGGATTTTTGCAAAGGCATAAATTTCACTTCAGGTGCCTGGAGAATGATGAAAAGACTGTGTTGGCCCTGGAGGGCAAACGGGACTTTAAAAATCAAGCTAAGGTTTTAAATCACGCCTGCTGAAAAGGAAGTTCTGCCCCGCCATGCTTTCCTGCATTTCCTGCAGACTTCAGTGGCAAGGTTGTGTGCGGGTATCTCACGGTGATTTAACACGACAGCAGTACATCGCCCGCAAAATTTATCATCTGCAAATACTTGAAAAATTCAGATGACAAAAACCACCATCAGGAGATGCTGGTAGGGACCCTTCGAGAAAACAAAACCAACCCCCACGTGTGCCATCGGTCCCCCTGCAGTCGGTAAGGCGAGAATTACTCGGAGGAGTATTATGAGAAAAGGAAGGAGAAATAAGTTCACCTTCCTAAGGAAATTTTCCCAGTTCGATAAATTGTCGCCGTGTTTTAGAGCGTATGGTGTACGCGATTTTTTTTTTTATTTCCTATCTGGCTTGGTGCAAACTGGCAGCTTTTCTAACTCCAGTTCTTTAAGTGAAGTAAAAGCTTTGATAAAGACATGGGGATGAAAGCTCTGAATCCTGGGGGCCTGGGTGAATCTTGAGTCCTACTGGAAAAATCAAATCTAGCTAGTGCTATGTTTGGGGTCTCTAAAACTTATTTTGACATATTTCCATATGTGCTGATTTTGTGTGAGAGAAATCCCATACTCTAGTGCTTCCACCAAAGAGCATGATGTGTGTGGTAAGGGGCCAAGCTCTACTGCTTCCAACTCCAGCCTCAATGGACAAAGGTTTGTAGTATGGAGTAGACACTCCAGAATTTCTGTAACCGTAAGGAGGAAATTTCACATCAGTGAGGAAAACAACCCGAGCGTTTTCTGCTGTGAATGAAATAGTAACACTCGAATTTCTTCAAAAAATTTGAATAGGGAAGCTGAGCAGAAAGCAGAATACAAATGGGATTGCAAACGCATGATGGATTTGGTTGTAAACTGCGTATCACTCCGGTGTTGACTGAGTATACTGACTCTATATGTCAGAGTGTTTCTCTGTATAAAGTCGTTCAAACCTCTATTGTAAATGTCAATGAACAGACTTCAAAGATCAGGCTCTGAAACACTCCTTAAATCTTCTCTTAGAGTCAATTAAAGAAGTAATAACCCAGGTTTTCATAGATTCACCTTCATTAAAAAAGGGAAGAAAAAAAAGTATTTCAAACTTTCACGAGAATCCCAACGCATACTCTGCCTGAAACAAAATCATCTGTTAACGGTGTTGAAGGAAGAACACAGGAATCATTTCAGGCTGGTGACTTCTCGCTTACCAGCACGTTGACGGTGCAGCTCATGCGGTTCTCCTTGTTCTCGTCGTGCATTATGGTCCTGTAGTCCAACAACCTCTCCATCAAGCGGACGACAAGTTTCACAAAAGTTTCTCCGCTCTTAGCAAGGTATTTGTGTTTTCTGCAGTGCTCCAAGAGGCTGCAAAACCAATTCCATTCGCCGTGTTAATCACATGCAGAAAAAAAGCCCTTGACTCAGGTGGAATTTTAAATATTGTGCATCATTAACAGGTTTTAATTATTTCTGGGCTACAAAGTTCATTGTAGTCTAATTGCTCTCTCTCCTGACTTCACTGTGACATAAATCTCGCTGCTGATCAACACTTACATTTTGTCAAATAACACTTTGTACTGCTCGTCTCCTCTGCCTCCTTCCACTTCATGATCCAGTTTCGTGATGATCTCATTTTCAAACTGTAATTAAACAAAGCAAGCGTAAATAATCAGATGGCAAATATTTCACTTTATTACCGTAGCCTCGATGGTTCGCAGATTGGCTGGGTACCTCGCTGAGATGCTTAGCCATTATTTTAAAGCTTGGTTGACTTGAAGAATTTGCAGCCTCTGGTATTAGAGCATCCACGATGATCTCCTGCCCTACAAGGACTTTTTTTTTGTTGAAGAAATCATCGGTCATGTTGTTAAATGAAGTGTAAATATTTGCATTACGAAAAACTAAATAAGGAGATTAATGGCAAGAATGAGGGCAGGGAAAAAGAAGAGACAAAGCCAGGGACAGAGTGTCCCCTGCAATATCGGTAACAGCAACAAAAGTAAAACACTAAAATGCTGAAAGCTCTGTCAGAGAGGATCTATAACACCTAAGGCTGGAGAACTCTGCGGGATGCACACCCCGGCATCACAAATCAGCCCAGACATCCACACCACCAGTGACACAACCCATGGTCAAGGGACCTCCGCAGAAGAGCCCGGGCGAGATGGGACCCTGCGGCAGGGGACTGGGAGCCCGTTAACCAGAGTGGGAGTTTATTGACACAACGGTTGCCTTCACATTTTCTGCCACTTGCTTAAGCAGCCCCGACCTATTCCGAGGAGCAGCAAAGGGCCACCTGCAGCAGAACAAAGCCCACGAACTTTTTGTAAATGTCAAGAGATGCACTTTGCACCTGCAGTCAATATTAACAGCATATAATGTACAAATGGAAAAAAAGAAAGGATTGCCTGTAGCTTGATATTCTTCCAGACCAAGGACACGCTTCCACGGCCTCCCCACCCACGCTTGCACCTCTGTTCGAGCCACCAGCTTTCCCTCCCAGTGCCACACTCCCCACCTCTGAGCTCTACCAGTAACACAACAGCATCTCTTCCTCTTTATAAATTATTTCCACCGAGCAAAATATTTCCTTTAGTGACACCAGTACTAGCTCCTCTGTTACGGCCACCAACGCAGATGGATTTGCTGGAAATGGGAACGCGGGCTTTTGCTGAAAGCTTTAAGCAAAATTAGACTTTTTTTTCACTGGGAACAGCTGCAAGGAGGCAACAAGGACAACCTCAAAGAGCTTTGCAGTAGAGGTCATGTGCTAAAGATGTAGCTGATATCTATGCTGAAAGGCAAAAATCACAGTCCATGTACCAGGAGGGGAAAAAAATCCCTGCAGAGAGCACCTGCCAGCCCAGCAGCCTCTGCCAAGGGCTGGTAATGGGCACCAGGCACTGGGACCACCATCCCGGAGCATCCCGATGCTGGGGCAGAGGGGATAAACTTGGATGGGGTCTCCGGGGGACAACAGGGGACAGAAATCTTCTACACAGTCAACCCCATGGAGGAGCTAAGGAAGACAAGATGTTATCTCCAGCCAGCAGCAGGGCTCAGACTGCTTTAGCTAGGGAGAGAAACTGGATTTTTCTTAGTCCACACTGGGAAATTCTGCTCGAGTATTTATTTCAGCAACGAGTGCAACATCACCCTTGCCAATGACTCATGTCATGATGACGCTGATGATAAGAGAGGGCTTTTCACCACCTTGACTGATATCTCTTGCATACGGGAAGCGATGGAAACCTGGGGAGAAGAAGAGAAAAGCCTGCGGAATGTAGGGTGAGGAGAAGCCTCTTGGACAATCCCACAGCTGGAGGCACCTGCCTGCTCCCCTGGATGGTCCTTTCCTGAAGCCCAGAGCCATTGTGGACATCCACATGCTAGGTAAGGTGAACCCACGGATGAAATGTGGCCATGGACTGTAGAGAAGTTCCTGCTTTGCTAAGAAAAAAATCTTTTTTTTAGGAGAAATACACTGGTATAATGGGTTTGCTTGATAAATTGTGACAATGCCAAAATACTCCTCTTCATTAGGACAACTCTAGCTCTGAATGTCTTAACAGGCTCAACAGCAGTAATGAAAAAATCCACGGTCAGACCCAGGACACTGGGTTTTGTCTCCCTTTCCAAGCCTCCAAGTCTCTCTTCTCAGCATTAACTGCAGTAACGTTCACATCATTTTCTACTTTCATATGCAACCCCAGACTTCTTGTCCTCTGCAATTGAGTTGGGAAATTTATTTTTACACGCTGCCTGGCAGCCCAACAGAATTCCCTTACAAATAGAGGGGAAAAAAAAAAAAATCTCTGCTCTGAGCTCAGTGACTATGAGCTATCATAACAAATAACAGCAGAAAAAGTCCTGCTCACCTGCTGCTCAGAGCAAATTCAGGATACAGCCTAATGACATACAAAAGTCAATCAAACTGTGAGCTGTCAGGAAACCTCAACCGCAGATTGTATCTTGCATACAGCCACAAAAGCAACCAAGTACCCAACCAACAGATACTCCATCTTCAACCAACTTTTATTATTATGCAACACTGTTTTAAAGATGAAAAACCCAAACCCTAGATTAAAACATTTCAAAGGTGCCCGAAATAATCCACAAAATCACAGCAACACCGGTTGGAAGAGACCTTGAAGGTCATTTAGTCCAGCCTCCTGGGTGATGCAGGATTATTGCCAACACTACATCAGTCCACCTGGGACTCGCTCATCTCCATGGATGGATGATTACACAGCCTCTCTGGGTAACCTGTTCCACTCTCTTACTACTTTCCTTGGGAAGAAATGAATGAAAAGTGAAGTGAAATGAGGTTTTTAATACAATGAATCCATTATTCAAAAACTGCCAGGGAAATGAGAAAAGGAAGAATAATGCAATCCACCCCCTCCAAGAAGCAAACACAAGCTGGAACACGTTCCCACAGTACAAGGACGTGTCAAGTAAAACACTGAGGCAACACAATGATGAAACAGAGAAATCATAAAATTCATGTTCTCTAATGAGACCAGAAAGAAATTGACTTTCTATACCAATGTGAAAAACGACACTTGCTGCCAGCGTGAGCCCTTTAGGTGATATATTTTTTTAGCAAGAGATTACTCATACGAAGAAGAGCAATTACATTTGTCATACAGGATCTTGAGTATCTTCCTGATATCAATTTTACTTAAATTTCTGTAAATCCAGGCTTTGTTGGGCCATCTCACTAATGGCTCCCTTGGGTTGAACAGAGCTAGACTCACGGCATTTCTGGGGTTTGAAGGACTATTAACAACATCTCTGCTCTTCAATCATTCTTGACACTTCTCGAGGAATCAATATGATGCAGATCGTGCCTGCCAGATGACTAAACGTTATTTAACACAGTTAAAATTCCTTCTGCACTCTTTCCACAGAAGAACGTCTCATCAACACAAGCTGAGGTTTATAGAGCATCGTTTTCCAGCATGGGAGTAAGAATATGGCCCGGGAAGTCGCACAAGCTAATGGCTCGGAGACACCACACCTGGCAGCTGTTGATAAAGTCTCAATTTTTCCTTTTTTTTTTTTTTTTTTAAATGCATAAAATAGCACAAAATAGGCATGCAATCATCGTGATGGAATTTATTCTTAAGTGAATAAGCGCCAATTTTTGAATGTTTACAGTACAGCCAGTGACACTTGCTGAGGCTCTTTCTGGAGGCTCAGGGGGTGTCTCTCTGGCACCATCAATGAGCTGAGATTCCTATCCTTCTGTCGACAAGGAAAGCTTGAGGGATGACGTTAGGAAGATCCTTGCAGTCGATCAAGATCTCAGCTTTTCTTCAGGACGTGCTTGAACTTCAGCAAGGAGTATATCCAGCACTTCATCTGTCTGTTACGATCTCTCATCTGGAGAAAATAAATCAATGGAAGCTATCTAGAGTCTTCAAGTGTCAGCTCAACTAATCGCTTTTAGTTTTAGGTTTACCTAAGGTGTGGTCAGGCTGTATTTGCAGCACTGACTGACAATTTAATCTAGCTGTAGGTGAGGAGGACTTGCAATCCTCCAAGCTGCTATAAATTTCTTTTGATAAGGGATTATAATGAATTTCCCATATAACATTCAAGTGACGGATAACACCTCTAGAAATTAGTCCTAATGCAGAAATAGCACATAAGTACGCTAAAACTTTGTTCAAAGGCTACTAAGAAAGTTGGTGGTAATTCCCAAAAGTTTCATCCCTTTCCTTTCTTATTTTTCCACTTAAAAGTAGGTGATTTTGGATGTCTCTAGACTTACTGCATTATCTTGCTCCCTTGCTCTTCAGGTGGGGTGAGGGAGGAATATCGATATTCTCCAAAAGGCAGAAAACAAGAAAAACAAGAAAAACTTACACATTTGCATTTCAACTGTAGATAACAAAAAAATGTTACTTATTGAAATTAATCCTTCATGGGCGACGGCTTCGTGGAATTTTCCCGTTCAGTGGGATTACAGAGGAGAATCTGCAGCATTGCAGAAACTTGGACAAGCCATTAACTTGTGTCCATTGATAACCAACAAGAAATAAAAATGCTAGTATGACTGTCCTGACGATACTGACATTTATTGTTAAATGTTAGAAATGAATTAAAAGGGTGTCCTTGTTATTTCTTCTGGTCTTTAGTATTAATTTGCATACACCACAGGATGCTAGCTAGAGGTACTTTAGCTGCACCCATGGTTTTATTTTAGTAACCATATGCATTATGCATTCATTTATTATGCACTTCTATAGGATTTTGCATTATGCATTCATTGCTTATGCATTTCTATAGGATTCTGCATTACGCATTCATTGCTTATGCATTTCTAGATAATTTTTCTATCTTTTCAGCTACGGTTCCATTATGCTAAGTGTCATTCCAATTTGCAGATATCAGGACAGATGTGTTGTTGCATTTTTGGGGCTCTATCCTCAGATCATTACTTTTTACACAACTTATGCTAACAGGGGAAGAACACATGCTGGAGCTTGTATGCTTACATCTCTAATGCCAACACCATCAGACACTGATAATTCTCTTTAGTAATGCTGTCCACCCTGAAAACTAGACATATGGGACTTCTAATTTCTTCTTGCTCACTACTGCAGAGCAGAGGGACACACCTCTCAGATTTTACTTTGAAGGATAAAAGTCTTGCCTTCTTCCCTACTTGATGAGAAATGGAATTATATTGGGGAAGACAGGCTAGGACAGTGTTTCTTACTCAACTCCTTACCTTATCTTGTTAATGGGCTTTTTTTAGCTCTTAAAGTAAGCTATGTCTACTAATTAATTTGTTCCAGATAAGCTAAAAGAAATCATATTATGATGCAGTGCCATGAGACAGGGAGAACCTACGCATCACCTCCCAGTGCCTTCTCCCACTTGCTCTGTTTTGTCCCAGTTCCTGCACTGGAACCTCTCTATAAATGGGTTCCCCTCAAATCAAGCAAAACTTTATTACATCAGGAATGGCTCAGGTTCAGAAATGGTAAGGAAAAGTTTTGGGGAGGCAAACAAAGAGGAAATGGAGCCAGAGCAGGTGACAGCTGGAAGGAACAGGCAGCAACAGCAGGAGGTCGGGACTTTTTATGCTCCGAATTCCACATTTCAGCTGAATGATTGCTTCATGATGAACTTTCTCTCCTGCTGTCACCACGGGATCCATCCCTCTCACCTGACCAGGCCTTGAACAATCAAACCAATTCTCTTTCATCGCTCCTGTGGCTCTGACATATTCCCTTTGATCTGGAGAGATCGCTAGTAAAACAGGCAAAGGGAAAAATCGAGAGCGGAGAAGGAGGCATTTGCTTCTACAGGGAAGCTTCAGTCCCACTCTGACTTTAGAATCAGATTCATGCTTTGAGGTACAGGCTACTTTGAAGCCTTATATAGGCTTCAAAGCATCCTGAGAGGGACAGGACAAAAATGGGCAACTCCAGCTTTTAATTTAGTTCTGTAAATACCAGAGGAATTTTTTTTTTTTTTTTTTTTCCCCCCCCTTAGGGCTATATATACTGGAAAGCCAAAAAAACCCTTCCTGTATTTTACTGGTTTTACAGGCAAACCAACTCATACTGAAATGAAAACCTCCATGGGGAAAGCTGTCTAACACAAGTCATGATGAACTATCACAGCAGCAAAGTTCTGCCAAAATACTAAATTCCTCCCCCACAAATCAGGAGGTTCATACATCTGCTGGAGAAGTGAAGACAATCTACTCATTGATGAGACTAATAAGGTTAGATAATTGGGTAGCTGCCAGATTAGTTTAACAGTAGCCAACCACCCAATTTTGAAGTTCTTTGAAAGCAACGCTGGACAACGGTTATTGGTAGTTGCATACAGATGACAGAATTCAGTACATTACACTGACACATGAAGTATGAAAGCTTACCTAGGTACTGGTAACACTTAGATTATTTTATATCTATTTATATCACTTAAACACAAAAAAGATGTGCCAGGAAGCTAAAAGCCAGGCAGGAGCACTTCAGTTCCTGAGGAAACCACGGAGCAAGCCCTCATGGAAGCTGCTTCCAGGTACACGAAGGGCAAGAAGGTGTCTGGGGAAAGGCAATATGGATTTCCCAAGGGTAAATCAACCTGACCAACCTGATTGCCTTCTGTGATGGAACTACAACTACCTGCTCCGTGGACAGAGCCGTGGTTGTCACGATCTTAGCATACAGTCTCTCAAAACATACTTGTTGACCAGTTGGTCAGATGGACTGGATATAGAGACTATGGGTGGGAAAAGTGGCTGAATTGCTCATCTCCAAGGGTGGTGGTTTAATGGCTTTGACAGTTCGAAAGACAGCCAGCAAGAAATTGCACGAAATAAGAGGAACTGAAAGTCCTGAATCTGGGATGGCATGGGTGCAGGCAGCAGTACAAGATACTCTGCTGGAAAGGACCAGGTGGACGACAAGCTGAACGTGAAGAAGCAGTGTGCCCCTTCAGTGGAGTCAAAATGTATCCTTGATTGCACCAACACGATCAACGGGATTATTCCACTTGTTGGACCATGGCTGGAATACTGCGTCCAGCTTTGGTTCCTCCAGCTTGAGAGAGACATTGACAAATTGGAGATGGTCTAATGGAGGGCCACCGAGGTGAGAAGAGTGTTGGAGGAGCTGGCCTGAAGGAAAGGGGTTTGTTCAGCCTAGAGGAAAGTAGACTCAGGCCTCCCAAACCTAAAAGGTGGTTATGGAGGAGATGGAGTTACTCTGCTTACAAGGGTGCACAGTGACAACACAAGCAGCAGCAGGCACAAGTTAATTCAGAGAAATTCCATCTGGATATAAGAAGAAAAGTCTTAAACATTAGAATAGGTCACCCCAAGAAGTGGTGAAACCTCGCTTACTGGCAGTATTCAATATTGAGCTTCAGGTGGCCCTGGATAACCCAATCCAAGGCCCAGTTTGGACCAGGTTACTTCCAGAGGCCCCATCCAACCTAGACTTTGAGCAACCTGGTCTAGTGGAAGGTGTGCCTGCCCATGGCAGGGGGGTTGGAACTAGATGGTCTTTAAGGTCCTTTCCAACCCAAACCATTCTATGATGCTCTGCTTTTTACAAGCTGTGATCTTCATTCCCCAAAGCCCATTCTGAAATACTCAGAAAACCATATAACTACATTATCTGCAAAACCGTAAATGGACAGATTGATTCCTCCCCGTTAGACGCACCCGTTCCCTCCAAATGCACTGAAAAAGGTTTACTACCTCTGCATCTGGCATATCAGTGCTTTGTCCATAAAGAAGAAGCTATACTGGCATCAAAAATATATGTTGAGCATCTACGATCCAAGACATCTCCGACTTAAGCATGAGGCATTTTTCTTCTCAAAAGGCAAAAAGAATTTGTGTGAAATATTTAAGCCGTTCATTTATTAAAATCACCCAACTATTCCACCCAAAGCTGGTTCCCTTCTATCAAGAAAATATAGGGCCATAAATTCAGCTATAAAGTTACCCTCGGATTTTTCATGATCCATATAATTGTACAAATAAAAAATGACAAGCAACAAAAGAGAGCATCTGATAGGAAACTGTTTAAATGGCATCCCAGTGAGCATTTCAATCTTTACAGTATCATCAGAGTCAAACATAAGAAAGAATGATTATGCAGTAATTGGATGGATCCAAAATATAGTTCACAACCTTTCCACGCACCATCCAGCACAAAACAAATCAAAGCAATAAAGCTGATGCCGTTTCCCTTGCTTAAGTCTCTCCATGTAGATATTCATTTACTCTGGCTACAGATTTATTAAGAGCTGGTTATGAATACTAGCTGACAAAAAAAGTATGGAAAAGACTAAGATTTTTCATCCAAAAAAATCCCCTGCCAATATAAAGGGGAAAAAAGTAAACACCACACGTCAAACTTCACTGAAAAATTCACAAGGTCATATCCTGAACTGATAGAAATTTCAGTGTAAAGGAGCCACACGGGCTTATACCATAACACTGCCTGGCCCAATTCGTCTTATACTCAATCCATAAAGTGAAGTTTCAAGGGAAAGAAGGTCAAATGAATGACGCCAGAAAACTTTCTGTCTCTCAGAAGTTGATGCTATCGGGATAAGATTGTGTGCGCTTATTCAAGGACTTCCCTCAGCATGTTAAAATAAAATAGAATAAAAATGCTACGTTAGTATTTTAGATATTGCAGTGTCTGTACAGCGTGAAGAAACAGTGACGCTGGCTGGATAGCTTTTCTTCCTCTCCAAAATCCATGAAATGGTAGAGAGTAGAAAAATCAGGAGATACTAGAGACGATAAATTCTTATAGGTTATAGTTTCTTTTGCCACATTATCAGGCTTCCTTTATGTCCAATTTAACCCAGAAGCAGACTCCTTTTCTGAGTCACAGCGAAAATTTAAGACATCTGTCTTTGCTCTCCTTTTGTATCATAAAGAAAGGTTGAATTTGCTTCATGCAAATTTTTCTTTCAATAAGAATTTAAAACCCGCATATGAAAACTCTACAGCCACTCAAGAGTTATGGAAAATCCGTAATTGTATTATTCTTCTAAAGAAATAACAAAAATTATGATGTTTTTTGTCAAAGAACAGTTAAATCTTCTTTACAGACTTTAAATATCTGTAGCTCGTTGCTTACCATCTGGAAGCTTCTAGTAGAATGGAATTCACACTGCATCATATCAAAGAAGATGGGGATTGTAGCTTTGCGAAGTTCCGTTTCGGGGATCAGCGTCATTTCTAAGATAGGTCCCACCATTTCTGGGATAAACTTGATTTTATGCTGACCTTTAAGAGAAAAGATGCATTTCAGAGTTAACGAACATCTACTGGCTTAGGTAGAAGGCAATTGTTATGAAAGCTGTACCAATAAATTCTCATATAGCATAAGGGAGTATTTTTCAAGAAGCATGTATGATTATTTATGGCACAAGAGAGGAATATGTGGTGTGTATAAATTAACAAGAGTTGTTCAATCAGCAGTCAAACTGGAACTTGACAGATTTTCCATGAAGCACCCATATTTACACACCCATATTGCCTTTCAAGGGTGTTTTTTGAACACAACCGATGGCTGGCAGAGAAGGAAGCTAAAAGGCACATCACTTGTATTCACTTATTTAGACTTCTGTATCTTCCGCGGCGTACAAAATGTTCTCCGTGTCAGTCTATCAAAGTGTCACCACCAGTGCGTACTTACACAGCCTCGAGACATGAAACTACATCTTACCAAGCCGACAATATGTCTTCTTTCCTCGAGAGTCGATCTGACTGGCAAACTTGATTTCAAATTGCATCTTTCCAAGAGAAAAACGCGCCTCCCCCAGCCCTCCCCCGCTACGCTCTAAACACACGGAACAGAAATGAAACCTCAACAGGAACATGGCACCTAATAAATACTGGACTAGTTAAAAACACCTAGTTACCATTCGTATGATTAGCTCACATGTAGAGAACGCACATTATAAATTCTGCAAATCATCTGAAACAGATTTTAATTCCATTATATTCCACTGCACTACACCAGTATGGCAGTAACCATGGAAGTCTTTAATTACCAGTTTCACTTTTGACCAGAACTAACGTAAATCTCAACAAATGTAATCAAGAAGAAATCCTTTCCTAACAAAACACGCTACATTTATTATTTTTTTTTTTAGCAGATATAATTTAAGTTACTTGATTTGGGAAACTGCAGAATCCTATAAGCATTAGCAATCCTATTAGGGCAAATTAATACTCAACTCAAACTGCTGCTTGGTATGATGCTGCAAGGCTGGTTGTTGGGGAGGAATACCAAGTGAGAGGCAAAAAGCCTTCCTCTACCTCTCTTACAAGTCTTATTACATCTGGCCTCCCAGGTGACAAGTTTTCTTGTATTATGCCTGAAAAGTGTCAGAGTCAATATTTCAGAAAACAAATGATAGTGACAAAAGTTATTTGTCAGGCAAAAATTCAGTGTCAGGAAGTTCTCCGCGTGCCACCGTGGGTTTCTGCATCGCTTCAAGCACAGGGGGATTCCCTCAGAGAAGCAACTAACATCTTTTGAACTTGAGCCATGAAAAACAGCAAATTCACAAAAGAAGATTTTTTTATTTTTTTTTTCAAATCTTTGATCCTTATTCTTCTTCTCTGGGGGCATATCCACTTCCTGCTCAAAAAAGGGAGCCGCTGAAGAGCTGATCCGATGACAAAGGCATGGAGAGCCACGGAGCTGACCTCCCAAGGTGCTCTACCACCGAGGCCAACGGGAGCCACGGGTGGCCACAAGACTCGGTCCTGGCCACGCAGAACCCGGCCGGCAGCTGCCAGCCCCACCACCATGAAGCTGAACCACACGCACTCATCCTTCCTGCCGTTCACTGATTATTTATCAGCGGTGCTGCCTCGCAGGTAATCAACAGAGTTTTTAAATCAAAGAGGACAGAGAGCTTCTCGGAATATAAAATTCAGGACTTGGGGGGAGTAGAAGAGAGAGAGATATTAGCAGAAAGTATTAAAATCACAGTGAAAAAAATTCCTCGTTGGCTGTTTGAAACCCACATCGCTCTCCACGCTGTCTGGAGGGTCCGTGGGTGGCTCCCACCGGAGTTTACGCAGCTCAGCTGCAGAGGAAACCAAGGGGAAGGATGTGCCGGGCGGCGCAGCCTACACAAATTAAAACTCTAAGCCGTCTTGGCTGGTCCTCTTCATCAAGGATGCATGAGGAGTAACCTGGAGAAAGGGTTTGTCCACCAACTGGGTGATACTGGAGAGGGCTGAGAGCCCTGCGTGACATCCTTCTGTCGTGACGACACGCACCGGTGACGCAATGACGTACGGGTGTTTGCTGCGACGATGTGATCCAGGGCGATGTTGTGCCACAAAAGAAAGCAGGAGAACAAAACACAAAAAGGAAACGATCTCCAGAGCATCCACCCCAGCTGCCTGTCACAGGCAGCACTTGCCGATAAACAACCCAACAATGAATTCGCCTTTTTTTTTTCCCCCCCTGGGAGCATGGGAACTCCCACGCAGAGATTCAAAATGTGACAAGCCTGGAAGAAAACTGAGGATTCTCTTCTGCAAACCAAATTGTGCAGCTGCTTTAAGAAGCACATGAAAAGAAAAGCATTCTTTTGAACATGTAAAACTATTCCCTTGCCATGGCTCCTGCTGCGCCACGAGACGCGCTCCCACCGACTGCTCGCACGACGGTAACAGACCTCATTATGCGAACCAAACCCAAGGTGCTTTCTTCATTGGATAACATGGGATTTTCATCTCCCAGATTCTTCTCATTTAAACGTAGGCCACAAAAACCACGGAATAATTTGCCAGCAGCCTCACCTCTCACGTGGGTCAGCTCTGAACACGCCTGACTAATTCCCAGAGCGTTATCCGTAATGACTTCTATTTATGTAACGCTCAAAGTTCAGATCTATTTTTAACCCTGGCTTCCCCTCCAACGACATTAACGTCTCTGTCAGGACACCTTTTCTGCCGTCAAGCCCTGGGAGGGAAGGGCCGGGCCAGCGGGCAGCTCACCGGAGGACAGCAGCAGCAACCGCGTCATCTGCAGGGATTTTACTTTTCCATCTCCCTCCGGCTGGTTCAGATGTCAACAACAAAAGCAATGTTTTCTTTGCCTTTCCTTGACCAGCTTTACCACGAGGATATTATTTTTAATGTCAATACTGTTTTTTTTTTTAACATATAGCTGTTGAAACCATTAACCACTGAAAACCGGTACACACGACCTGGTGTCAAACTGTGTTTTGTAGACGCTAAATTGCACCGCACAATGCTTTCAAGCGCGTGTTGTTTGAGTTCCTACATTTTCAAGCCAGAAGCCACGGCTTGCTTTATGCTTCTCTGCTACTTACCATCTCACCAAGGTCTAAGGCCCCACTTACAATAAAAAAGTGATTCAAAATGCTCCATTATGGAAGTGGTGGAGTCACCATCCCTGAAGGTGTTCAAGAAACGTGTGGATGTGGTGCTTCGGGACATGGGTTAGTGGGTTGGGTGGTGTTGAGTTGACGGTTGGACTTGATGATCCTTGAGGTCTTTTCCAACCTTAATGATTCTATGATTCTATGATTATTTTAAAGTTCAGGTTGTGATATGGAGGGGGAAACGCCTGCAAAGCCTAAGATACCCTGGTTTTGGTGCACGCAAAATAAAAGCCTTGCAGCACTTTGAGAAAGGCAACGCTGTGGGAGATCTGCCCACCGGGACTGGGCTCCCCAAAACCATCCCCATCAGAGCACTCAAAGCTATAGCCTCCGTGATCAAACCTAGCAGGGTATCAAACAGGAGAGGATTTAAATAGACAATCTGTCAGGCTGCACCTTTCATACAGGGTTCTCTGTTTAAAACAAAAATCTTCTTCCTAAATTACAGGTATTTAACGTGTGCACACTATAGTTGCTTTTGTTTTTTCTGGAAAGAATATTGAAGCCACCATTACATCGGAAACACAAAGACAAGAAAAAACACTTTTAGAAGTTGTATTTTACTATTTGATTTTAGAGAATAAATTATACTCTCACATGTGCATTCCAGCCACAGGACTGTCTCGTTCCTGACTAGGGAGTTTTGACTCAGCAGGCATCATACTTTAATCACGGCATTTATGAACAAAAACTGATGAGACAAACTATTCATTTTGGAGGCTCATCCACACCCTTTAATATATAAATCAAAAGTCAGAGTTGTTTGGCTTCATCATATCTTATGCACAACGGCAAAGTCATCGAAATTCTACGCTCAAGCATATGCAGGAATTACAGCTTTTCTCTTCTGATTTTGTTTCTGAACATATACATTAATAATTTGACTAATGAAGTGCAACTTCTAAGATAGACGTGTCAAGCAGCCCCCACTCAATTCCCCCGCAGTGCTAAGCCAGAATTCTTCCTTAATTGATGCTGTGACATACCCGAGATCGGTGAAGGGCCAAAAGCTAAACACGATCAGCACGGACTATCTGTATCACAAAGCAGCTGAGAAAAAGCAAGTTGCTCATTATGAGAAGTACAAAGGCCGCCTCGGATTGGGGTCCTGCCTCCGATTTACCTTTCTCTGGCAGCTTTTGTTGGGAAGAGCAGCAATTTACTGAGTGTCTCGGCACGGGAGATTTCAGCATTAATGATCCCAGCCACTTAGAGAATCACAACCGTTAGAGCTAGAGGAGGTCACCGAGCCATCTACCTGGATAATCTTGGTTTATAAAATCTCTGATTAAAAAGTAAAGGCTTTCATGACGGCACAGAAAGAATTATTGAAGACAACACCACCCCCCATGCCAATCGATTCACAGAACTGCAGGGGAAATGATTATCGTCTCCCTGTTAATGGTGAACTTTCCCAAGAGCAGCCAGTGTCCAATGATTATCGTCTCCCTGTTAATGGTGAAAAACTGAACCTTAGAGCAACTAAATAACTTTCCCAAGAGCAGCCAGTGTCTGCAGCAGTGGTGAAGAGCACGGTGCACTCCACAGTCCCCAAACTGAACACAATAAACTCATGTAAGGACAACCAGATGTCTAACTACGTATGCAAAGTTTTCTACTTTCATTCTAGCAAATACTGGGAAAAGTTTGAGAATTTCACGTTAGAGAAATTAGTAAAGACAAGAGATGAATAAGCCCAGAAGAGGGAAGGATTTGGCTCATTGCATCCCGAGCTGGATGACCCAGCACCAGCCAGGATACTGATTTTATTAGCTGTCTGTCAAGTCACCTATCAGGCGTGTACTGTGCTTTAATTTGTTCTCCAGGCACTTAATTCACGAAAGATGCTTCTAATAAAAAGTGAACTCAGCAGCCTTCAGAAGCCTTTTCTCATCATTCCAGCAGAGCGGATGCACACTCCGTGATATCAAATACTTTTGAACCTTTGCGTTCCCTTCTCTTCTATATGCTGATTTTTTTCAAGTTTCAGCAACAACGGTTCAGCTGCAGATATAAGTGAAGTGGCATTTACTTCTGATAATTCAAGGAACTTCTGACAA